TCTTTATTTGCATGAATGATTACAAAGGTATCAGTTAAACTGTTTTAATTGGGTCTTTGTATAAGTCAATCCAGAACGGAACTATAGTTCCCAGGGGTCATTTCACGTTTACGTTCGCCATTTCTAAAATACGTGTAGCTTAAGCTCCCTATTAAAATAGCACTTCTTTGAACGAGATTTTTCTTATTTGAGAGAACATTTTGACGATTTATGCGCTACCATTGATAGCTCGGATAGCTGGCTCGTTTATTGGAATTGACACTCAAAACAATGCTATTTAACGTTTTCGAAATATTTAGGTACGAAAAATTTCGAACGGAATGCGTGACATATACGTAATTCGCGTGAAAAGTCCGAACGAAATGCGTACGTTTTTTCGGCGTTTTGGACAGTATACATCACAAAGGAACTTATCGTGTCACTTGTCTATTGTGATGTCATAGAGACAATTAGAAAAATTGAAGAATTTGAAGAAAAATAGCCACCCAAAGACACTTACACCTGCTAATTGCCATTTTACAAAGAGTTTATTCAAGCAAGAAAACTGTTTGGAAAAACGTAATTTCGGGTTGAACATGGTACCCACCACTCTGGTTACCATAGCAACCATATCTCAAGAACCAATCAAAATTGAGGTCCCAAATTTTACCATGTATAAATATATAACACATATGTGTACCAAGTTTCATTGCAATAATACTATTTTCCTTGAAGTTATGACATCAAATGCAAAATTTTTTGAACCACCTAAGTATATCGTGTAAAACGTAATCGGTCGTATGTGACCAGAACGGTGGAAATAAGATCATTAAATGTAGACACTATCACAGAAAGAATAGTTGCCTCGTTGCAAGTCAAACATTGCCTCGTTTCATTGTTACAAAATGTAGACAGGTGCCTCGTTTCCTAAGTGAGAGAATTGATATGTAAATATCTCAGCAATGTCTGTATTGATTTCTAATTTGCAATCATATCATAAAACCGGAACTTATAAACTATTTACTTGCCAAATATTAAGTTTTAATTTGAAGGATAAAAGCACGAAAATTGTAAAAAACAAAAATCTTACAGAATGAAATTTTTTCACGCGCCGCCATTTTGATACGAGGCAAAACCTCCCTCGTTTCCAGTTCATCCCCAGTGCTCAGGCATATATTCAATGATAGGGACATAACTGCTAAATACAACTTATTTGACATTTGCACATTTGCACTCGACAGTGCATGTTAATCAGCGTATTAGTGCATATATCAAATTGTGTTGCAGATCAACCAATTAAAGTAGATTTACAATAACATTTTATCTTGCATGTCAGGATGCAATACAGAACCTGTATAAACTTCACTGCTACCCACCTAATTACACAGACGTATCGTCGGTGTATCATGGCGGAACTTCCTCCGGGACTAGGTTTCGGTAAGATTTTTTTATTTCCCGATTTACACCTACTTATAAGTCACGTTGTGGATAATAATTTGGCTCGAAGTTAAGGAAGATAGTCTTGTTTGAGAATGTGTCGATGGTTTTAGGTTTTATATGTTAACAAAGACACAATTCACGTATTTAGTCCCTCGCTTTTCTTACACTGACGAACGACCAATATCAGTGTAATATTGGCAATATTAATGCCGATCGACATTAATAAGCAAGCGAAATGTATATTTATGTTCAAATGGAAAAATGACTTAGATAACTATAGGAATATATACCCTCGTCTCTTTACAACAGTTCATGAAAGAAATCCTTATAACACCAGAAATAGAATGACCTATGATCAACCTAAATTTCGCACAAATTATGGTAAATCATCTATATCCATTTCAATACCCCAGCTTTGGAACAAATTACCAGAAAGACTTAAACAAATAAAAAGCCTCTATTCATTTAAAAGAGAACTAAAAAAAACTGTTTTTGGAAACATACTAACTCAATTGATATTTTGCTGTCTCTTTATCACCCATTGCCCTCATCATGCTTTCTCTCGTGTATGCTCTTTTGGTTTCTTCGAAGAACAAAACTGCTCTCAATATGATTGCTCAGTATATCTGACCCATATGGTAACATTTCAATCACATACAGTTATGTTTTTTTTTTTTTTTTTTTTTTTTTTTTTTACTAAACTGACTTATATTTCCAGCTCTGCTGTTCCCCAAGATTTTGCCTCTGTTCCAAATAATGTTCAAACTACATTGTAAGTATATTTGCACTCATTGGTATAATTGTATTCAAGAACACTTTTGACATTATGCCAAAGCGTTATCTCATTTGGTCTATTATGATGTGACAAATCAATACCTTCGTTCAAATAGATGAATACATAGGCAGGTCCCCAACTGCATTTAATAGGTATGACAACACACATGTATTATTTTTGCCTAATATTGGGAATATACACTTTTTAAAGTGTCACCCAGTTCATATATTGTATTTTGTGTGTATTTTAAATAATAAATAAACATAAACATAAATTCTGATTTTAACAAATTTCTTTTTTACAGCCAGTTAAAGACGTTGAATTTGGCCATTTTCACCATGTTTTCACAAAATCTATGGCGTCACGCTACTGCTCTCCATACAAAGTGATTTCAAGACACGTTTTTTCTGGGGGAAGCTTATTTTTTAACGTTGGGAATTCAATTTTTTCACTATGTTACTCATAATAGTGTCATGTATAATATGCCATTTCGAGTAAATTCTAATTCGTAAATTATCACATACTTTATTCACTTTTTTAAAATTCCTTTAGTAATTTCCCATTGACAATAATCTGTGACGTCATATGTCAGAATTTATGTTAATGAGCAAATGACGTGATATTCTTGATATGGTGTAAATCGGGAAATAAAAAAATCTTACCGAAACCTAGTCCCGGGGGGAAGTTCCGCCATGATACACCGACGATACGTCTGTGTAATTAGGTGGTTAGCAGTGAACTTGGCACAGGCCGATTTTACCCTCTTTCATAATGGCTATTATAGTTCAGTCATCCATGGCAGTTACATAATGATCTAGGTACAATTTGATGGAAGACAAACTAGGCCCTTTACTGCTATCTTTGTACTCCATATTGCTCAAGATCTATTAATCTGTCTTTGAAGTTTGGTAGGCATATACCTTTTTGGACACCCTGTTTAATATCGTACTCGTAAGTACTATCACTGTCATATCACGAAAATCACAAATTAGGCTTTTAAGGCAAATTAGAATAATGTGTTTATATTATTTCCTTATCAGGATTCATATCATTGATATTAATTGTGTATGATTGATACCAAACTTTAATCAGGACAACATTGCAATCACGCCCGTAAACAGAAATTTGCGTGATGGGGATTTTTGCCGTCATCGGGATTTTTGCCGGACATTATCTTAAGTTTTACAACATAGTTAAAAAACTAATCACATATCGCTTAATGAACACATATTTTCCTTATTTTGGGGTTTCAACCGTACTCAGGGGAATTACACGGCCAATAAGATCGCTTTCCTTCCGGTTGCAGATTTTCGTAAGATATTTTTTTTCATCGAAACCACTACTTCTTGGACGATTTTCTTCAAAACGATAGCTTCACAGTTCAGTTCCTCGCTTTGGAAAGTGAAATACAACTCTGAAGACCTGAAGAACACAGAGCGCCGTCGCTGTTTCAAAAGCGAGGAACTCAAATTGCGTATATGGCGCTTAAAATTACAGTCATACTCTAATGGAGAAAATCGTTTGAGAAATGGGTTTAAATTGAAAAAAATTGCTACCGGAAGGAAGGCCATTTTGTTGCACAGACATGGTAGTTGCCGTTGTTGAGACCCAGTGCTACTACATCGACATGACATATGATTTAATTGTGCACCAGGTGCACATGTATTATCTTTATTGTTATTCTATTACTTCGACTCATTATTCGGGCATAATATTTATTTATAACTGCAAATGGAAAAATGTGATCGATCATTGTCATTCTCTAAGTATACTATTATATCGGTGGGCTTTTTTCATCTTTTGTGAAGTTATATTTAAGAAATATAGACCGAAAAGCAGGGGTTATATCGTCGAATACACCCCGCAGGGCTAGGCACAAACGTTTTCTGTACCCCGAACGACCGAAGGGAGTGCGGGGTTCGAAAGCTTTTGTGCCTAGCCCCAAATAAAGATATATATCTTAGTTACAAATATAAATGCTGATGTTTTCTTAGTACGATCTGTACTAAAATAGCGATCCGCCATAGCGGACAAATCTTCCGATCCAATCCCGCAATTAAAGGCCATATTATGACAGCTACTTTTTGAGTCATTTAGATTTTGTCTCAGCTTTTAAACTACATTTGGAACATTCAGGACGTTTATCTCGAGATTGTCTTCAATGTACCAAGCTCAGGTACTCATCTATTTATAGCTGTATTCGAAATCCGAAAAGACAATGTTTAGGGCCTGCTGATGTTTATACCTGTTTTCAAACAAGGTCTAAATGACCTCTTTACCAACTGCCCGGATAGGCAGAGTCTAGTACAGGGTGAGTCAAAAAAGGTAACCCAAACAAATGTTAATAAATATTTGGCACACTTGAACCTTGTCAATTTTTTTTCATTTTACTGAATTTTTCGGATTCCAATGGTCGCGATTTGATGGTAATTTTACGAGACGTGCTCTAAATGCCGAAAAATACTGGCATTTTGAGCATGTTTTGTAAAATGGCCATCGTGACCATTTTAAATAGACCAATGAATCTTGATGAATCGAAAAAACATCAAAAAGGCTTGTGCCAAATATAACCTTAAACTCATGCTGTTAGACTGAGTTATAACATATGTTTCGGTTACATTTTATGGCTCACCTTGTACATCGTGGATGAAACGACTTTTAAAACACCAGAATTAAACTATTGAAGTAGTAGTTTTTTTCAAATACAAGCTAAGTGCATCGTGTTCCCACGTAGGTCTGCGTTCAGCAACGAGAGTCTTGAACGTATGAGAAGTATTCATGACTGTGTGCACCGAATAGCGCATACATTTATTCGTGAGGTGGATATTTACATTTGGTTGTACAATACATCTTAAAAATAGACTTATTTTAAATCCGGCGTTTAAACTTATAATTGATAACTAGGTTATTAGGCCTACTCATATATACAACATATTCATGTGTCATTTCCGTAAATACAGTACACGATAACCATTAGGTTACAATATATAGATCTTAAGCTAAACTAAATAAAGGAACATTTAAATAACACATATACGATTGCCAGCAAGGGTTTTACAAAGGACATGGACAAATAAAGCGAGATTGTTTACATGCATATATATGTTCTGTAAATTGAGAGATTCATGGTAGACTTATATTGAGCACCAAAGGAGATCCAATATTTAAAGGTAAGACTTCATTTATAATTTTACCTGGCAGATAGACTACAGTTTCTTCACGTATTTTCAAATGACGGATACGCCCTGGTCAGCTGCTAACAAACTTCTTGCTGTCAACGTTTTAGTTGCATTGATCACGTTATGTTTGTCTTAATGGACGGAAATGATTTCCTCTTCAATAGTATAAAGGAAATCTTGATTTCAGGGGTACTATATAGTATTTTAATAATGCAATCAATAGTCATTAAGTTACTAAATGTAGTTATATATATAGTTGCCTTTATACAACTGCACTCTATAATTTAAAAGGCCAATGCATGCACGTTTGAAAAGGTCGGTGCGTACACATTAGTTAAAAACTTAAGACAAACTTTGTTGCAAGTAAGATCTCCGGTAGTCTAGCTCCAAACCTCTGTGAACCCCTCGCCACTATAACTGTGTGAGAAGGCCCGTAGCCAGGATTTGCCAGGGGGGGAGTCACTTTTTGAAAAATTCCAGGGGGTTCACTTGTGACAATTTTTGGCCAAAATCACTTAAAGAGTGCTCAGAATGGTGAAAAACTGCATGATTTTGAAAGATATTTTGGCCAGGGGGGGGGGGAGGGGGGTCTCTCGAACCCATCGGACCCCCCTGGCTACGGGCCTGGGCTTGTAGCTAGACTAGATCTCCGTCAATATGTGTGGCTCTAGGCTTATCATATATTGAGTGCTTGCATGTAACAGTTCCTCGATCTATCGAGCTAATTTTTTTACCATCATTATGTTCAAACATGTCAAAATGAATCACCCTTCGAATAACAGTAACACAGTACACCCCAAAATGTATGTCAGTCTCACCTTAACAGATGACTCCCTTGGTCTGAGGCCCAGGAATACGATAAAAATGTTTAAAAAATCCGCTTGTGTACTGAGTTGTTAATGGGTGGCCTATACATGTATAAATATCTTTTATTAGAGGTTATTTAGATGTATAAGAATAAGACTGATTTTTAAAAGCTTAATGGATAAGAATAAGACTGATTTTTTTATTAATGGCAGTATACCCGGGCCTCAGCCCTTGGTATTGAACCTAAACTAAGAAATTTTAACATGGGATCGCTGAATGGAAAGAGCTGTATAATTAAGTTTTCATGGTCTTTCAGTATCCTGAACATAATATTGATAAAATACACACTTCAATAATATCAGCTTTATATTCTTATTAATACCCTATTGATACAAACCCCATTATCTTATAGCATTTTCGTTTTATCTGGGGCCGACATACCAAAAGCTTTTACATGGGGAATCAAAGCTTTCAGATCACGATTCGCTTCTTCAGTGAACGTACGATTGAAGCTACACATAGAATAAAAAGTTTATCTAACTTTGTTTATTTTCAGGCATATCTTTACATTATGTGTTAAGAGACTACAGGACAAACGAACCCTATCATAAAATTGGGATAATCACCTGATCACCATTGTTAAACCGGATAAGCAAATATATAAAGCATGCCACCAGCCAAAAAGAGGATTATAAAATACGTACAGCTGAACGGCGCAGAGAAGAGATATGTCCCTAATAAGCATTATGTAAGTTTACAATCTACGTAAGCATAAAGACATGATCTTTTGCATCTTTTATACACAGTTTATCATATTATGGAATATCCATCATTTAAAGGCCCCATATAAAGTTTAAACCATTTTGCTTATGTTGTTGTCTTACTAAATTAAATTGCCTCACATTCAGATCTGTAAAGCTAAGTAGTTAGTAAATCGTATTATTCTATAATTATGAGCAACGGTGTATAGAATTGAAGCTAGCCCATATAATGGTATCAAGAACCCCTATTTCAAGTTATCACTATTCTTGAATTCTATTTCGATTTCAATTCCGAATGTCAGTTTGTAGATGTATTGTCTGTTTAGTGTTTGGTGTGAGAGGGTGTTCAAGGGATCAAAATTCTAAGTTATCATTTCAGTTTCTGGACTCCTGTTTCTAACTTTTAGATGTTGATTGGACTCAATCCACCATGGGTAAAAAAGTTGTAAATATAAAATTTTCATTTTGGAAATACCTATTTAATTTGACCTGATTTTAATCTGTGATTTACACAAGCTGTAAGACCAGATCATATTTAGGGATGATAAGCTGAAAATACTATTTGTATAATTAGTGGTAATGTGTAACAACAATCAGTCGTGATAAACTCCCTCCGTTTGTCTACGTCCGGAAATAAACAACTCACCAACTTTCATTCGTGGGCGAGAGTGTCATGATTTGTTTTTCTTATCAATAGTTGTATTGATTTAATTGATTCCCACTTATCGAATCATTCCCTCGCTCAAAGTTTATCTTGATTCTTGAACTAATATCTGTCTAGTCGGATCATAATGTTATATTTGGAGATAATAAATTTCCAGTAGATGTCAATGAGAAACTAATGAACATAGTAGCATATTATATCCACCAGGGTCTAGATCTTTTGGACATGTAATCGATTACAACATGTTACATCTGAAATCCCGCTGGCCAAGGAAAAAAAACTTACACATCTTTGTGATATACGAGTAGGCCTATAGTGTGATGATATTTTATTGACTTTTTTCTTTCATCTATTTTAACAATAACATGACATAAAAATAACTTATTATGTTAAAATTTAATAATATTCCTCTGGATTTCACTCAAAATTGCCGTCCATGTCACTAGACTTTGGCAATTGTTTAAGTTATGTACATCTGTATTTTATGGAATATAATAAAGATGATTAATGATTAAAAAAAAGTTATATTACGACACTCTCTTTCTAAAATCAGAACAGTCCTATTTGGCAGTCTTTGCTTTATCTACACATACAGGGTGAGGCAAGCTTAAAAATGTGGGGCAGAACATCAGATAATGAAGTTAGTATTGAACCATGTACAAGCCCGTAGTCAACTTTTGTCCGGGGGGAGGGGTAGATTATTCAAAGAATTCCAGGTGTTCACATTTGAAAACATTGGCCCAACATTACTTGAAAAGTGTTCAGAAAGGTTGGAAACTGCATGGTTTTGGAAAGATTTTTGGCCAGAGGGCCCAATCTCAGAAATCGCTCTGGCTACGGGCCTTGTTACCGCCATGGGATGTTCACTGTTTCAGTCTAAGCAATCTTTTTCTGAAAATCTTTGGAGAGGCTTTGTCGTGTTGCCCTCAACACTTTTTCTTACTTTTTTAATTTCATGATAAAATGCAACATTGCTATTTTTTATTAATAGATCATTGCTCAAGTTTTTAATTATGAGCTTGGAAGACAGACAGACAATATGAACACCTTGTGCACACATAACAATGAACGACAAACGAATTTGGTTCAAACAACTGATGAATGGGTGATGAATGCAAACGAAGTATATTGCAATTCACGATCATCTGTAAGGATTCCATGTGTATATATGTTTCATGTTGTCCCCTAGTTTTGAAATTCTAATAGGCACAGTGATGTTTCATGTACGGATAGCTATTGTTTATCTGTTATTGTTCAGATAAGGCACTCGAATATTGCTAAATTATTGCAGGGACTTGATGAGTCAATGTTATCTCGTGGAGAATGCAAAACAACGTTGACCGCTAGAATACCACCCGGGGAATACCAGCCTCTAAAAAGACTTTGAAACCAGAGCATTTTTTCATTTTGCCAGTTTTTACATTTACATCTAACTACAAAATATTTATCGTTTGATTTCATAAGAATAGTAAACATCTTACCCGTAGCCAGCTGCATTTTCAAAGAGGGGGAGCTTTTGCCAAGCTTTCTGACAGTTTCGGCTAAAGAAAATCATGCGAAAAGTGCTTAGAATGATGAAAAACCGCATGATTTTGAGAGAATTTCCAGTCAGTTCCCCCCTTGGTTAGGGGCCTGAACATAGACCCATTACACCAAGTTGAAAACACAATTTGTGTCGGTGGGAGATCTAGAGATATTGTAAAGTTTAAGTAAAAGGTTTATTTGTGACATAAATATCCATCATTCTTGGTTAATATGATCTTTCCATGTTGTGGCAGAACTGACCACACTTTGGCAGTGGAAAGGAGATCGTTTCTAGGTCATTGTACGAAACAAATGGAGAATAGACATTAGTAACCCTTAACCAAATACGGTATAAAACCGTTCCTTTTCCACGTATAGGTAGAACTGATCACACTTTGGCAGAGCAAATGAGATCGTCTTTAGAAGGTCACTGTTAGAAAGAAATGGAGAGTCGGCATTAGTAAGCCCTAACTCCCCAATCTGATATAATACCGTTCCAAGTATTGGCAGAACTGACCACACTTTGGCAGATAAAACGAGATCGTCTTTTATAGAAGGTCACTGTTACAAAGAAATGGAGAGTGGACATTAGTAACCCCGAACTCCCCGATCTGGTATAATATAATTTATTGTAACTTTTAACTCCCAAGTCAGATAAGATAGAAATTATGGTTCCACATACAGGATAATGGTCTTCCCTTTATGGTCCTACATACAGCATAATGGTCTTCCCTTTATTGTCCTACATACAGTTTAATGGTATTCCCTTTATGGTCCTACATGCAGGATAATGGCCTCCCCTTTATTGTCCTACATACAGGATAATGGTCTTCCCTTCTTTGACCCTGATCGAGTAAAATAACATAACATAATTACATCCATATAGTATATGATCGATGATCACACGATATATATAATATATACAAGTGAAGAGTAGTAAGTGTATGGTTTAATGACTACAATCAAGCATTCTCATGCTATCGTATATTTCTAAGAGTCTTGCTCCAGTAACATGTTAAATATTTACTGTCATCTATAATTGCAGATGTATATACTTCAAATAAAATGGGAAAGTGGTAACAAGTATATAGTCTACAGGAAATACAGCGACTTCTTTGATTTTCACGTAAGTAGCAACCATTTTATATTTACAGGGTGTCGCAAAGTAACAAGACGTGTTGCAACCATTTTATATTTACAGGGTGTCGCAAGGTAACAAGCTTAGGCGTGTTGCAACCATTTTATTTCTACAGGGTGTCTCAAAGTAACAAGAAGTGTGCATTTTGCAAGTGCTGCTCAAACCATGTTCACTTTTTCAAAGAATGTTCTTTCGTTTGTTGGGATTAGTTCAGTGCGTTACTTTTAGGGTACTCTAGAATTGAGGTACAATATATAGATAGCAATAACCTCATTTTAAAGGGCAATATAAAGAAATCTGAGGGGCAAGATTTCGCTATGTTGCCTGCTGAAGGACCTGGGGAGAGCACTGAGGAGGAACTCTGGAAACGAAGATAGGGTTCTTTCATCCTTCCAATCGCAACAAAAAATTTGGCAAGTATGTAATTATTGAGTTCCCCGTTTACAACTTAGAAACATTCCTCCCCGGTGGTGTTTGCGCCATTTAAAAATTATATCGTATATCGAAAGCTCTTTAATGACCACTTTGTCCAACAACTATTGCTGAACTCAATATACTGTTACAGCCCAGTCACATTTCCTACGGCGACCTTGCGGTCTATCAATTCTGCGGCCAGTAACATTTCTACGCTCGCCGTGGAATTTCTGCGCTCTCATACTTTTGCAGTCACATTTCCCACGGCAGCCGCACGGTGAATTTTAAATTTCTGTTAATAAATAATACTTTTTTCATTTTATTTACATCGGGACAATTTATAAATGTTATTCATAGTGCTAGAATGTAATATTAAATGAAAAGTGATCGTGAAACATTGACAAATAATGATTCAATCTTGTTGAGCCAGTTGATTTCTACAGGGACCTCAGAAATGAAGAGATATTATAACTTTGAGTTATAATTTCTACGGCGACCCTGCGGCCTGTAAAAAATTGGATACGCCGTACGGAGGCCGCAAGGCGAGCGTAGTTTTTCTACGCTCGCCGCAGAATTTCACCGATTTAATTGATCTGCGGTCGACGCACGGCCTCCGTACGACAAATGTGACTGGGGTGTTAGTATAAGCCTTATAAACACAAGTGTCGTGTGGATCTCAATTCATGGTGTCATATAGGACTCAAACATCAATGATGATATTACACTGGGTAAATTGCAAGAAAACATTTAAAGTGGTCAGAAAACGGCACTCGGAGAAGTGGACAATTCATCCATCCATTTTAGTTCACGATATAAGCAGCGTATTTTGAACATTATCAGTTGTGTTAACACCCCAGTCACATTTGTCGCACGGCGGCCGCAAGTCGACCGCAGAACAATTAAATCGGTGAATTTCTGCGTCGAGCGTAGAAAAACTACGCTCGCCTTGCGGCCTCCAAACGGCGTATGCAGATTTTTACAGGCCGCAGGGAAGGCGTAGAAATTATAACTCGGAGTTATAATATTTGTTCATTTCAGAGGTCCCCGTAGAAATCAACTGGCTCAACAAGATTGAATCATTATTTGTCAATGTTTCACGATCACTTTTCATTTTATATTACATCCTAGCACTTTGAATAACATTTATAAATTGTCCTGATGTAAATAAAATGAAAAAAAAACTATTATTTATCAATATAAATTTAAATTCACCGTGCGGCTGCCGTGGGAAATGTGACTGCAAAAGTATGAGAGCGCAGAAATTCTGCGGCGAGCGTAGAAAAGCTACTGGCCGCAGAAATGATATACCGCAAGGTCGCCGTAGGAAATGTGACTGGGGTGTTAGATCTCCGTTGTATTCATGTTCTTGCTGTCAAATAGTAATGAATGACGATAATCATAAAGATGGTAGACACTGTTCTTATAACCACTTCCACATTTGTAGCCGGGATCTCCCGTACAGTTATGCCAGCAATGAGAATCCTCGCCTGCCAAACCATATCGACCATAGCTCTCGCCACACCAACATTCGTCCCTGTCATGTAGCCCAATATACGTGTAACCTGGACATATGTAATATATGTAATATCAAGATCAGTATGTTTTAAAGGCAAAATGGATAGTAGCACGTGAAATCAGTTGAAACTCTAATTATTCTTTAAACAAACTTGGCGGCCATTTTGAAAAATGATGGAAGTTACAAGCTATTTTACGATTTTTGCTGTAAGTGGACAGGTAGTGGAGTGATTTTGTTCATATTTGATATATGAAATCCATTGGCAGGGTTCACTGTCTTATGAAAAGGATTGGTATCGATATGGTGAACTTTTTGAACACATGTTTCTCTTAAACCAGTCATCCAAAAATTCTGAAAGCGTTACACATCGTCAATTTAATGGTCATATTTTGAATGGTAACAATATAATTTGATTTGAAAAATATACATATACTTTTCTCTATATTGTTTAGAAAACATATCAGACACTTCTTTTTTTCTTGGTATCATATGTTCGGAATGAAATGAAACATCTATCCGAACCTCATTGGAAAATGTTGTATAATGCTACTTTGTTCCAACAAGGTTCGGAAAGTTCTTTTATTTCATCTTCAAGAGTTGGTAGAAAGGAACAAAAAAAATTGCACTAAAATAAACAAAAAAAATGTTTAAAACAGTTAAAAACAAAATATATCTAAATGATTTTCGCATTAAATTGTTGTCAACCAGTCAACATTACATAAAGGACCGTGTTTTTACAGAATGTTTTCAATAATTGGTTTAAGAGAAAAACATTGTTAAATTCAGTTTACCATATCGATACCTTTCCTTTTTGTTATTGTTCAAAATGGCCGCCATTCTCACGTGGGTTTTTCTACGTTTTTTTTACTATAACTCGAAGAGCGAAAAGTTAAAATTCTACATGTGACCATTTACAAACATATGGCACTTAGCTTTGACAATTAGACCAGTGAACGGCCATTTTGAAAGGCCAACATGTACGTGTATAATTTTACGTCAATTTGATATAATTTGAAAAGTGAAGGAGCGATTTTGTTGATATTTCATATGCGGATAATGAGAAGCATGTTAAACTTTCTTATGGCAATTTGGCTAATAATGGCCATTTTGAAAAATGGCAGGCGTTTTTATATGTTATTTTACGTTATTGCCTAACTGGAAACTAGTTGAGCGATTTTGCTGGTATATGTGAATATTTGAAAGTATATTGTCCTCTCTAGAGACAATTTGACTAATATGCGATAGTTGTTTGATGGGATTTGCTACGCCTTGGCGTTGCTGTTATTTAGTCCTTCCTCAAAATGAGACGATTATACATCATAAAATAGTTCTTACCAGCGTCGGCACAGGAGTTTGCACATTTATCAGGACTGTTTTCTGGATCGTCTTTGTAGGCCATATGTTCAAAATCTTTCGGATTGGATTTGTCATGATAACATCCTTTGTATTCTTTCACTAAACACCCTGCCTCTGAAACCAGTATGAGAATAGAATGATTCATTTTTTTCAATTTGTAATCCAAAAAGTTATTTCGAAATATACTTCAAATGAATCTTAGTTCAATTACTTATTCCTAATGTGCATTGCCTTTACCTCTTTTCTTATGATATACCCTCCAATCGCCATTTTGGAATTCTACAGCGTCACAGTCTATTGCACTGAGGAGTTGACATATGTTGTTTGCTGTATCCACGTTCGTTGCTACGCAGTTGCTATTGGAAACACAATGAAGGAGGCATTCATTAATGCCACTTGTGCTGAGACTAGCGATGATGACAGACCCATTGATGTAACTTCCGACATGCCATATAATGAACAATGCATTATTATCAACACGTTCGCACAAAACAGACAGCGAAAGCAAAAGCATCATAATAATTAATTCCGCCATTTGTGCGTTCTTTCACCTGTTAGAAACCTCCTGACTTAATAACCCAAATGACTCGACTCTTGCGCATTTGTGTAAGTTTGTGTCAGATTTAAAAACGGATATTCATGAAACATATACATAATATGAATATAATATCGTTTTAGTGAATACATTGTACCATGAAAACTCACCACTACTGTGATAAACTATATTTGCACGAGAGATGCAATTCAAGGCTTTATACTTATTACAATAATTGTCCCACGTAACGTCCATGTATTAAATGAATTGAATTTCCGTATCATGCGATGTCATTACACTGTATGTCACTTACAATTTTAGAAAGCTTGCCCAGATTCAGGCAAAGTACAAACAATTCCCAAAAACGAATTACATTTGGAATTTATTTAAAAACTAGTGCAATTTTGGCGAAGGTCAGGTGATTTCTCTAAAGCAGTTTTTAATAATATTGATGTAAAATGGACAGTTAATGTATAAGAATTTCATTCTTCAAGCAAAGCATTTTATTAAATCTATATTATATCACAATGGTGCACAAATTAATAGTACTTCAAAACATTGTAATTATTTAAGATATTTGATAGTAGCAACACTTGGTAAAAGTCAATCAAAGACCAATATTCCTCAAAGGATGAGAATCGATATGGTGAACATTTTGACAATTGTTGATGCAATCCATCAATTCATTTTCGACTCTGCTTCATTTTGAGTGAACATCTCTCGTCATATGAAAGCACAGGATCATCTAACACGGACATGTATAATTTTCATGAAAGAAAAATCAAAGAGGCTATTAAAATCCACCAATTAGCGCCATCTATGAACAGAGACAAAGGAGTGTACATAGACCCCATATACCACAACGTTTTAACACGTCCCTTTAAATTTCCAAAATTCCCGCCACAATAAGTGAAGAAGTCCAATGGATGAAGGACGGAATATTTTACAAAATTTTTTCAAAGATTTTTTCAAAAATGTCCGTGTAAGATAAACATTTCAAATGAATATTTCTGAACGGATGAACATTCATTCTCATCTTTCCTGGAATCAATATCTCTTCATAAGACTTGCTGATTTTCCTCATTTACATCTATACCCATTTGCTATGGAGTGCGGTAATCGACAAGTTGATAGACGCTGTTTTTAAAAGCACTACCGCATTTGTAAGCGGGATCTCCCGTGCAGTTTCGCCAGCAGTGGGAATCCAAAGCTGCCGCACCATTCAGTCCGTAGCTATTTCCACACCAGCACTCATCCATATCCTGGAGCCCCATGTACGAATACCCTAAAGATAATAAACTAGGTATATATCATTAATTCAATGACAGCGACATATGACATTGGTAAATCATAAAGGGTGCCTTTACTTCTTTTAAACCCATTTAGGTAGCAACATAATATAATAAACTGTAATTTTGAAGAATATACAGTTGTAACAAAGAAGAGTGCATTATTTTGCTATTGTTTTTCAAGAATTGACACTTTGCAAGCTATCCGAAATTAGTGTTGCACAAAAGACGATTGACTGTCACATGCAGTGTACTAAAGCTGATCTGATTACACCCTTTCACACATTCAATAGTTGAAAAGTAAACACAGAATTCGAAGAAATCAGGAGAGACATCAATGTCAATTAATGATGCAAATAACAGTTTAGACTAATTATTTTAATTTTGGTAAATTTATAAGGATAGATCGAAAATGACACCTAGCCCCTTATATTTAAAGTTTGAATCCTTACGTACCAGAATCTGCACAGGTATTTGCACATTTGTTAGGCGTATTTGCTGGGTCGCCTTGGTAAGCCATCTGGTCGAAATCTCTTGTAGTTGGGTCATCGAGATAACAACCTTTGTATTCATAAACGACACACGCGTACTCTGGAAACGAAGAGAAAGCTGATTTAGTGAAGAACATGCAAAATTAATCAATGGCATCTACGTTATACGTTTAGCAACTAAGGCACAGTTTATTACGTGACAAGTTTAGATCTTCTGACATTTATTAATATTATTTGAGAAGATATAAATCTGAAATTTTAACAGTATTCCTTTATGAAGATCAACAGACACACATTTGTACGGCGACAATCCAAGCATATACTTACCCCCTTCTTTATGTAGTACTCTCCAATCGCCATTTTGGGACCCTTGGTTGTTGCAGTCTATAGCACTGAGAAGTTCACACATGTCGTTTGTCGTATCCACGTTCGTTGCTACGCAGTTGCTGTTGGCAACACAATGGAGAAGACATTCATCAATCTCTCTTGTGCTGAAACTAGCAATAATACCAGGCCCATTGATGTAACTTCCGATGGGCCATACGGTGAAACTTGCTGCATTGCCAACACTTTCGCAATATGAAATCAAAACGGACAGCAAAACCATGATAATCATTAAATCCGCCATTTTAAACCCTCTCTTTTAAAAGTTCTGCAGGTACACTTGTCTCGAGTCTATCTATTAATACATAAATACCGCCTGGAAATCTCTAACAATGATGAAAATTGATGGTCCTTCACCATTTAATTTAATATGATCCTCTAGATTGTTCAAAAAGGGAAAGCTGCGCCTATTTTCTACTTCGCTTGTTGATACGATCCTGTTCGGTGCTGAGATACCAAATGCTGCTGTTATAACATGAAAATAGTCCGTATCAAAAATCTATCAATGATTTCTCATCGCCACTTATCAAATAGTTAGAAATAATGGGCTGCAGACTTTTGAATTTTTATATGCATTTATTTCGGATGCAGAATTTGCCGTAAGCTTCACGTTACCGATTTGTTCTACATAGAACTCAAAACACAATTTGAAAAACGTCATTCGTTTATTCCAAGTTTGCCAAAGGGAAAACGCTATACCAGAAAGGCGTCGCGGTCGCAACTTAACTAAAAGGCATTAGCATATTATCTTTTTCTTAACCAATAAGACGAGACTACCTCTAAGGTATTGAGGATATTGGTCATTGGTGCTAGGCACTTTAGATAACTTAATTGCAATCTGCCAATAATTCAAGTGAAACATCAAAGAAGAAAGAGATACCATTGTCCAACATCGTTGCCACGTCATAAAACCAATTTTCATTTTCAATATCTCTGTACTTAAAACTATTTATTTTATATAACGATTCTTTTTATAAAAGGACTATATATAGATGACCTTGTGATAAGCCAAATCATATTGACACGTCGCAAAAAGTTTGCGCACGTATTGTTACACATTTTCGCGTTTATTCCGTTTAAACACCACAGAATGTGACGTTTTTTGAGAAAAATGTACACATATGGAAATCTTTTCGTCCTTCACATTTGCCTCTATATCTCAAAATATTTAAGGCGGATAACTCTGATATCGTATATGTATTAACAATGGGTTAGGAGCATAATAAAATACGAATCAATTGATATTTTAGTTGAAATAAATATACGTGTTGCTGTGCTTGAAAATGGGCGAATGGCGTAAATTAGCCCTATTTTAATGAATTTTGAAAACTTTTCGTCCTCCACTTTTCCATATACAACAGAAAACACATACTTTTGTGAACAAAATCAACTATTTATTAAGAAACTAGAGTTCAAGGGCAAAATAATCGTGTGTGATTTATTAAAAATTGATCTCGTATTTTTTGTTTAATGTATACCTGAAAAGTTGAAGGTAACAAAAAATGAGCAAAAAAGGTCGCTGTCAACAGATTCTATTTTTCAAACTCTATGACGTCACAATATGGGACGCTTACTAAAATTCATCCTTTGAAATAAAACTTCCATCTACCTTTATCAAGAGGAAAAATAAGTATAATAGTCATATATTGTTTGAGTTATGAGCGTTTAAAGACGAAAAATAATTCAAAATGTAACGTGTCAACAGGGGATATTTTCCAGATGTTTTGGTAAAAAACTATTTTTTAAAAATGAACGCGCAAGAATTGTGAACGGAGTGTAGTTGATCTAAAGACTTCATCATCGAAACAATGAGTGATATATAACTTTAATTAGAATATTATCTTATAATCCGGGGAATCAAAGTTACATTCACGCGATACCCTTAAAAAACAAATGCGCCACCTTTTTGCGACACGTCATTGCATGATTATTCTTAAGAGTTTGACAACTTGACGCGCAATTCTGTTCATTGTATCTAATTTTGTCTTGTTGATTTAGCTCTTCGATTGTATTGAAATTCCTCTAGTTTTTTCATATTTTCATGTTACAATTTATTCTTCAAATGATTTTTATTCCAAAATGAAACAGATATAATTGCAAAAGATTGTTCCTTTGAAAAATAACATTTATGGTTCACGGAAGATACTGATTAAGATGTTTTTTGTCATAATGAAAATGGTGGATATTATGCACTATGTCAACCAATCTACTAATTGAAGCTATGTTTGGAGTCTGGAAGTCCATTGTACCATATAATTATAGATACAATCATTTGATTACGTTTTTGATTAAAAGAAAGAAAGCAAACAGCTAGATTCAATATTGTCCACCCCTGAACCATTTTTCTGAATATATACCTTTAAGTTTTCTTTAGTTCTTACGGTTTAGTTAAAAATAGTCAAAGACAATCAACAACTTTTGAAATTAAAAGCCTTTTTATTAACACGAGTAGTTTTTGTATTGTCAAGTAATTTATTAGTTTTGCCACCAATTCAAATACGCAGTTTAAATTGAGTTGATGCATATATAGCCTTGCCTAAGTCTGTATTTTATTGTGCTTATCTTGATATTCAATTTTATACACGAAATAAAAATTGAAATGGTTCTTTTAAACAGTGTTTGCCAAATAGCTTTGTAATCTCGTTAAAGACCCTTGCCATATGTCTACATGTGTTCTGGCCCTACCATTTTCTACCAAAAACGTGACGTTATCTAACTAGCAAATAGTCTATTGTGTTCAACGTGCGTTCAACTCTCATGCTTGATCTTTTAATTTAAGCAAGTTCGTGATAACATTCCTTGAAATGCCAATATCTGACTGACTTTTGCTAATTGCACCTTATTTTAGAATAATGGCGGAAGTAAAATTATCAATGAACAGTGATCATGCGTAAAGTAGGTTTTTGTATATTTTTCTAGGAACCCATTTGTTCAAGAATATAACATTGATTCCGTGTGTTCAAATATATTTTTGTTTGCATATTACTTTGTGTTAAGTTTATGTTGTCGCCATTGCAATCAGAACTTCTGTTGATATTAACTCAGGATGCATTCCTTATAGAACATCAATGGTGCCTGACTAAATGCTTCAGATGACCTCAGTATCTGATTTCGGAATAGAATTGCGTGTATCTTAGAGTGTACTTGTGCTTTACTTCGATCGATCGAGTAAGGAACGAGCAATCATTAACTGCAACATGTTGTTTGTTGATGGATTGTGTCATCTTTAAATTCAACTTCAATTTCCTTTCTCTTCTAGAGTTGTCATGCTGAAGGATTCCAAGCTTTTGGGTTTATTTATCAGACGTACCTTGTACGTACTATTTGGCGGGTCTACACAGTTTTACCAATCCATTTTGTCCCACATCAATACTGCACATTATTGTTATAACCTTTTCTTTTTGAGCCATTACACGTTTCGATATTTTTTATTTAAAGGGCAGATAGATTGGAGTTCAGTTATCTAATAGTAATTTGTAGTAAGACATATACTGGTAATTATTTCTTATATCACATTTTTTCAGGAGAAGCTTACAGAGATGTTTCCGATTGAAGCTGGAGTTATAGATGAAAGACAACGAATATTACCAGCTTTACCCTGTAAGTACTGTTTGGCGAGCATACAAAGTTTTACCATTCTTTTTGTCCCGCATCAACATTGTAGAGTATTATAAACTATAAGATTTCCTTCTTAGGGCATTGCAGAAGCCTCAAAACTATTATATTTATTCAAAAACTACCCTCTGGACTTATTTTTGTTCTAACATATATATATCATATGTTAAACGTTGCCATGGTGACAAATTATGATTTAATTCCGATCCACCCCCAACCATGCAAATTGTTGATACAAAAATTGTTCTTTTTCCAAATGCATTCAGCTGTACGCCTATCAAATTTTTAAAATATCATCCTATTAAAATATTTTCAAAGATTTCGTCATCAATTCATTTGTCAGCCGCAATGCTATGTTGAAGACTATCATTGCCCCTAGAGGTTGGAAATTATTTATCATATTAAGAGGTCATGGCTAAAGGTGGTAATACTTGGTTTGTATCCAAGAAAAAACACAAGCATACATTTTTTATATCGATGAGTATAGAAACAATAATAACGCGAAGAGCGACCATAGCTCTAAGGATAGCAACACTCTTTGAAATGAAATAAGTAAGGCTGAATTTTATCTGGGAAACATCAAACACCCCAAAAAGCAAATCTAAATAGCGTCACCTGGGGTATTGCATTCTTCTTAGTTGAATCTATAAGCCGCTGAGAATGAAATTAACTGCCAGGCTTTAGTCTGTTTGAACCTAAGAATTGATATTGATTTTGATTGAATGACATAGTTTTTGAATTCAGGTTAACTATAGCATTAAGTTCATTTAGTTTACCCCATCCATATACGTTCCATTTGGGAAGAAAGGGGTCACATGATGCTTTATCAATCATATATTTTTTATATTTCGGTATAATAATACCAAACATTTAGAGGTAATGAATAAATTTAAAGAATTTCGAAACTATGGTAAAAAGTTAGAAAGGACTGTATAGAACATAATTTTAGACATCCAATATCATGCAATGTATTCAATCTTGTGAGACATAAATTTACAGAACGAAAGTCTGATTGACTACAATCATCATGTATCCTTTAGATTTAGATGTTCCTCCCCAATTAATGTTACATTTCAATCATCCATAAATATGTAATGTATATGCATCTTGTACCTAACTTAAAAACTAATCAAATTGCACATTGTAATTCATGATGTAATTTAGTGGAAAACAATAAGATTTCCACAGATTTTCCTCAATATTTACACATTAGACATCCAAGGGTTAAGTAATATTATTCATCACATTGAATGTGTTAATATTGGTAAAGGATCATGCATCTTCTTCTCTAGAGGGCACCCCGTACATGATTTATATGGAGTATTAGTCTTAAAGTATTGCATGCAGTACAAGAATATATTAAATAGATAAATGGTCAATCAAAATATTAACTTCCAAACCTAATGGATAGTAATCTCTGATTATATTTCAGCTAGGAAGTTATTTCAGCGAAGTGAAGTGAAAAAGGTTGCCTCAGAGCGTGAAGTGAGTCTGGGAGAATACTGCAAGCGTTTCTTTAAGCTGGAGGAGAAGATCTGCCAAAATGAGTTTGTTCATACATTTTTCGAACCCTCTATGGAGGATATCAATCCGCCCAAAGATGCAAGGTTAGTCAATAAACAGTTAGCTGATTTGTATTTCCCAACGTCAAATTTAAAGAATTTCGGAACTATGGTAAAAAATTAGAAAGGATTGTATAGAAGATGATTTATATGGGCTTATCTGCTTTATATGGGCTTATTAGCCTTTTGCAGATTATTGACATAGACATAGTCAAAGATATGTTCATTTAGAAATGAGTTCTCAATAGTGTGACTTGCTTTTTATACCACATGCACATTGTCTTTTTTTATCAAATATTCGTCTCAATTAATCTTTCAGCAAAAAGCCTGTAAAGACTAGTTTGCTCTCTGCCTTGCTACCCTTCTCCAAAAATAAAAAAGAGCTTGTTCCCCAGAAGTCAGGTAAGCAACTCATAATTCAAGAACGCTTAAATATCAATATCTACAGGGGGTAACACTAGGGCTTAGATTCATCAATATTCTAGAAAGCAAAAGCTGAAACATTTTCTTAACTCAAAAGGGATAATTGATCTTATTATTGCACTGACTAAAATGACGAAAACGATTTATTGTGATGTAGCAGTGTTATTTTCATAATCACTTTTGTAGTGCCTGCTGGCCTTGGCCTCAATGTCGATCAAACGATGGATACCGGCGATGGTTTGTTATGAAAATATTTATATTATATAATTATACGTATGTATAGGATCACCCAAATGAGTCCACGTGTATATTCAGGATTACAAACGCTTAAGACGAGGACTGCTATTCAGGAAAGCCTTAATATATAAGTGAACTCATTTGGGGTCATCTCGCATGCGCAGTGGCTACATGTTGTTCGACCCTTTCCTTTCACTGGTTCCCGGATGTTGTATTTTCTAACTAGGTTTAATAGATGAAAATGTTCCCACTAGCAAGAAATGAATTACTAGCGTCAATTTAAGAGAACTAACTAACTAAATGCACGAGATACATGGTATATTTTTTGTTGTATTAATTCACCCTCCCCTTTATATTACAATTACATATATGCATGGAAGTAATGTAACTTAAGGATATAATTTAATTGTAAATAATATACCATCACTTTACATAATTAATCTGTTGGCTTTTTATACATCACCCCCTTCCCCAGTACCTTCGTTTATTTAGTACTAGGCTACTAAAAAGCAGCATTATGGAATGCAATCCTCTTGACCCATGCATATTTTCACAGAATCTAAGGATTTCTTTTAGTTCGAGACACTGATTTATCATTCCTTTAGACAAAAATAAAAGCTATGTAATCTATGTATCAAAAGACAAGGGAGTAATAATATACACTCTCCTATGTATACCGTTCCGTATTAGTGAAATAGTTGACATTAATACGGAATAAATCATACTATTTTATGAAAAATGGTGACCTTGTCCTACGGAAATTGAGATTATGTTTCACAGCAAGCTCGCATGGTGATACTGTATAGCACATGCTCTGGGGAATCGATTCTACTTTCTATAGACACCAAACACATCTCTGTCGATAGAATAATAAAAAAGCCTTAGGGCCCCAACCTCCTTTGTTTACATTTACAAAAACGTGAAAAAATGACAAAAGTTGTAATAAGTTTTTAAATCTAAATCTGTTTAAAGCGATTTCACTTGCTAGCGACAGATACTTTAATCTTTCACGAACCGAACATGTCAGTTTGGTTTGTAATATCTCCAAATAAACGATTTCAACATTTTGAAAAACTCGATGCTAGTCCACGTGTTATACGGAATGTGTAAACGGTTTCCAAGTGTTAATACGGAATGGGTGTTAAATCGTATACATTCCCGGGGAAATCACAATTTCCATAAAATTTGCAATGATGATTGTTCTGATAGCTCATTGATGGACATTGGACAGTATCTTATCGAATGCAAACAAATGGCACGTTAACCGAAGGCGGCAACACGTCCGTCAATGGCAAGGATTGAATGACTATTGTACATAAATAGTGCTCTCTTTTTTCTTAAGTATTAAAAGATAAGTTGTACATCGACGGCGTCAGCGCGATAGCTTTACGCCCATTAATAGTAAAGACAGGTTGTTGTACTTTTTCTCATTGCATCTAATAGGTTGTAGTTGACTACCGACATTTTCATTCAAAAATGTGGTTTAGAAAGACAATTAGTACCAAATGAGGTAAGCTGTCCATTTGTTCATTTTAATTCAATACAGCAAAATCAAGCTTACATTTTCATATTGTTTCCTTGTGAAATAAAAATTGTAGTATAGATGTCATTACTTATGCGATATTCCCTATCACCGTGGTCTAGTGCTGGCACTTAGATGATTTTCTTGCTAAGGTTTTGGTACATCCTTCAAAACCGGTGTAAAAGGATAGGAGGTCCTCTCAAATTATGGTCCTACTCTCCATTGATTTATATGGTGACCTCAATACAACTCTTTCCCTCATTATCTTATACGCAATCAGGGCCAGTAAGGGCCGTTAAGAAAGGAGACCATAATCCCTGGGGGATCATCATTTCTTTTACACCGGCATGACGCTCTTACCCTCTCCATGACGAATAAAGTTATAATTGAAACTAAAGTAAATGCCCATGCTACTGAAACCCGTATTCAAGGTATTCTGTTTCATACCCAGGGTTATGTAACCATCTTAATTGCTTCATTTCATTCATGAGTGCACCGTTTCGTTCATTGATTTTACTTATTGAGTCGACCAATTCCGTATTAACACGTGGACTAGCATCGAGTTTTTTAAAATGTTGAAATCGTTTATTTGGAGATATTACGAACCAAACTGACATGTTCGGTTCGTCAACGACTAAGGTATCTGTCACTGGCAAGTGAAATCGGTTTCAAGAGTTCAAGATTTAAAAAGTTATGACAACTTTTGTTATTTTTTCACGTTTTTGTAAATGTAAACAAATGAGGTTGGGACCCTAAGGCTTTTTTATTATTCTATCGACAGAGATATGATTGGTGTCTATAGAAAGTAGAATCAATTCCCCAGAGCATGTGCTATACAGTATCACCGTGCGAACTTGCTGTGAAACATAATCTCAATTTCCGTAGGACAAGGTCACCATTTTTCATGAAATGGTATGATTTATTCCGTATTAATGTCAACAATTTCACTAATACGGAACGGTATACATGGGAGAGTGTATATGAGCATACAAATAAAAATCTGTATATATATTTCTGATTTTTATAATGGTATACCTACGTTCGCGATTCAGGTCTATTGGACTTCATGATCACATTCAGTTTGATAACATTTACTCTGGGAAAACAATATGAAAACTAGACATATGCTAATCATCCTCCAAACGTTTGGCAACGAGGAAGACTTTTATTTAGGATTAGCCCTAGCTGTCGGAGGATGCATGGCAATACTCAATACTTCTATAATTATTATATCATTAAGCCAACGTCATTAATATACTTATAGTCATAATATATTTGCCTTACAGTTGTATGGTTACACCACATTGCACAATAAATTCACTTTAAATTGTATTTTAAACTTATTTCATTTATACTTGGTAATATAATTTATCACATTTTCCTGACCTGTGGTGGAACATGAACTCAAACAAGTGATGATTTTCGACATTATGTCGTAAACTCAGGGAATGAGACAATGTCGTAACTATGACTATGGTCATCAACGATTGCACAGATTATGAATAGATAAATAAATACATATATTCACCTGATATTTGTCTCTTATAGCCGAGGACATGGATATAGGTTCTCCAATGTCTTTGGATCCTTACCGTGCTATATCCGACTACAAGGCCGCAGACAAGTCAGGTGTTAGCTTCTCAGAGGGACAGCTTGTAGATGTGGTCGAGAAAAACCCAACAGGTTTGAATTCAAAGTCTTTATTAAAGATACTTGGCATGTTTGTCTGACGACCGTATATGTGATCAGGTTCTCGTCATATGATAATATAATATAACACTTTTTGTTATATTAGTTAGATATTTTATTTTGTTGAGAAGAATGCCCGCGCATCTCTCACAAGCCATTGATAACCAAGTCACGTGTAGGACATCAGAGATCAGAGAGTCAGGAATACGACAGGGATTTAATGTGAAAAGTATCCCTTATGTGATGCTATTATAGGTTGATGGTTTCTCAGGTTGACGACAATCAAGGATGGCGCTGCGTAATACAATATAATATAATATAATATAATATGATATGATATGATATATTATCCCACGATTAATGTGTTATCTGTACAATAACAGCTATTGATATTTCTGATATCATTGAAATCCGTGTGATATTTTCCAGAAAATCGTTTATCAAACTCATATGCGTGTGATATCGTTTATCTCACGCATATCCGTGTGATATCACATTTGCATTTCGCGCCACAATATTGTTGGAAAATAGGTCAGATAATTTATTCTCTTTTGAGAAAATAGGTCCGTTAATTTATTCTCTTTAAGTTTCATTGGTGTATTAAATTACGATTGTGTATATAATTTGATTAGAAGGCTGCTAAATAACGATTAAAAAATTGTATTTATGACGAACTATATCACAAGGTGATCGTAATCATGGGATAAACCCAATATCACATAATTTCTCGTCATATCATTTTATCGCCTCGTAGATATCAAATATCAACACTCATTCGCTTCGCTCACTCGTGTTGATATTTGATATCAACTCGGCGATAAAAATGATACCACTCAAAATGATGTGATATTCTGTATATATAATATAATAAATATAATATGTAGTATAAATGAAATAAACACGAGCACACGCGTCTCGAACTCGCAACCTCGTGGTTACGGCGCCCAATCGCCTCATATTATCATATTATGCTATATTATATTATATTGCGAATATAAGTATATGCATAGTATCATAATATTCTTATAGGTTGGTGGTTTGTCCAGGTTGACGAGAAACAAGGATGGGCGCCTGCCTCATACCTTGACCCCATTGATTCAGCCGAAGAGGCAGACGATCCTGCGCCAAACTATACAGGTATTGTTTATTTTATTTCATTTAAAACGTTCCTAATTTGACGTATAACTAAATATCATATCAAAATTTTAAGATTTTGAGTTTCACTGAAAATATTGTTTTTAGTAATTGTGAGACACCCTGCTTGTATTGTAACTGTTATCACAACTTACATCTCTATTGTTCCAGTGAATCCTAATATAGGTAAAGTATCATATGTATCATAGATGATGAACTTGCTTATATGCAGTAGATATGTAAAGTGCATTGTATTTAGTCTGATATAGAGTTGTGCATGCGCAAAATTATTGCGCAATAATTTTGCATTTACGAATTGCTATATCACAACATACAATGCAGTGTAAGAATAGCTCTTTTGAAACTATCTTTTATTCTTTGCTAACATCTATTAGAGTGACTGAATAATTATGCTTGAATTGTAGAAATGGTTTCTAAATACTAAAGTGTGGTTCAAAACAAAAAGTGGAACACTTTTCACTATATAATTTTTCATGACATACGAAGTATACAGATCATGACCACGACTAATTAATACATATATATCTTTATCTTATACATTTTCACAAATAATCATTTAACCATTATCTTAATTTTTATTGATTGAACTGCAATAACAAAGGCAATTGAATTGTTATAAAATAAATTCGACATGTTCCCTCTTTCCCGATCTGAAACATACATTTACTTATTTTCGGTCTTCCCAGGTATTGAGTTTTCAATCAATGAACTATTTTAAACCTTCTCGTTAATGTTATTTCGTTCCGTTTAATTATATTTTCCACTTTGTAGAATATTGAGTAGATCACATTCTTTTCCAAATGTTCCACTTTCTGGAGCCCTTAGAATATTTGCATGTAACAAGCACGGTACACACGACGGTTCATCACACAAGATGGTTTGAATTTACAGTTAGGGTTCACTTAATTTGAGCTTATGATTTGGTTATGTTAAAATATGGCACCTGATAATTCACAGCTTTTAAGAGGATACTGCAATATGTATATTTATATATCTAGTCCATGAATATTCTATACTATATTTAATAGATACTCTATAACAAGTACGTATACGCTGCACTTGAAGGTTTACACAGCTAATGAACAAATTTTGATCAAATACTATATTGATAAATCTAGTATAAACTATATACTTACTAAAACAAGTACGTTGCACAGACAGGTTTACACAGTCAGCTTTTCTAGAAAAAGATGGCACCCCACAATGGTAACTAGGTTTGCCTTGGATATACAGATTCACCTTTCCAGTTTTTAGATGTATACAACTCATTTGCAACCAGCTTCTAGATTTAGACAATATTTACCACTAGCTTTTAGGTTTTTCATAGTAAATGTATGTGCAAAACTATAAAGTGTCATTTAGTCATGTTTGAATGCATTGTATATCTTTTTTGTTAACTATTTCGAGGCCAGAGAGGAATAGAGCGTGTGCTTTAATTTCTATTAAACCCTCTCAACTCTGAAGTGATGTGTGCAAATTTATGCTGTGTTTTTTTGTGTTTGTTAATAACTCGGCCTAAGATGACGAAATCGAATACTTCCTTAGTTCAAATCTTTGGATTTAAGTGCTGTATTGTAATTAAGTTCTTGTCAACAGCGGATATTCGAATTGTTGTTCTAGCGATCCTTGGAATGGAACAATTGATATTTATTCCAAAACTTTATTGCTAAATGATTCCCTTATAATAATCTCAGCTTTTGATAATGTTATCAGTACGCAAACCAGCGGTTACAGAAAGGTTGCATTAATTTATAGTTGAGCGTTTTAAACCTTTTAGAGCCAGATCAGATGATTGCCACCAAAGCATACGAAGCAAAATTTGAAGATGAAGTTAGCTTCAATAAAGGGACACTTATGGAAGTCATGCATAAACTCTTAGATGGATGGTGGATTGTAAAGTAAGTAATTTATATTTATAATTTATATTCGTGGGTGGTAGTTCATTTATTGTTGCTTAAATCGAACTCGACTTTCATGATAAATAATCAAATATTTAAGTAATTAGTATCAAAATATCTTATCATAGTTGAGTCATCATAGAGAGGTAATTCGTGTTTTAAATCAAATAATTTAAACTTCAAAAGTCATTGTTTAATTTAAGTTATGTCATAGTCAAGAAATAAAGTTGAAACATAGTAAAGTATATAAATCTAAACTATCTTGCCCAGATTGCTAACCCACATATGATGGTATTTCGGTATAAATGGTCAAGTGGGTTACGCCCCTGCGGCCTACCTTGCGCCGATAACGAACGTACATATGATGGTATTTCAGTGTAAATGGTCAAGTGGGTTACGCCCCAGCGGCCTACCTTGCCCCGATAACTAACGTACATATAATTGTATTTCAGTATAAATGGTCAAGTGGGTTACGCCCCAGCGGCCTACCTTGCCCCGATAACTAACGTACATGTAATTGTATTTCAGTATAAATGGTCAAGTGGGTTACGCCCCTGCGGCCTACCTTGCCCCGATAACTAACGTACATATGATTGTATTTCAGTATAAATGGTCGAGTGAGTTACGCCCCTGCGGCCTACCTTGCTCCGATAACTAACCCATATATGATTGTATTTCAGTATAAATGGTCAAGTGGGTTACGCCCCTGCGGCCTACCTTGCTCCGATAACTAACCCATATATGATTGTATTTCAGTATAAATGGTCAAGTGGGTTACGCCCCTGCGGCCTACCTTGCCCCGATAACTAACGTACATATGATTGTATTTCAGTATAAATGGTCGAGTGAGTTACGCCCCTGCGGCCTACCTTGCTCCGATAACTAACCCATATATGATTGTATTTCAGTATAAATGGTCAAGTGGGTTACGCCCCTGCGGCCTACCTTGCCCCGATAACTAACCCACATATGAAAAATATGAAGGCTAGTTTCAAAGTGAAGGAGGTTGTACCAACTCCAAGGAGGTACGTACTAAATAGCTGAAATCAAAAATAGTTCTAACACATTAGGGTATAATACACTTTTGATACACAACTAAACTATTTGGTGATTTTATCAAATTCATCATTTGTAAATTCATGTCCATTGTGAATTACACTTTAGTAATACTTGTTCAAAATAAGTGCTGAAAATTAGCTGTAATCACAAACTGTGTTGCCATAATATTGTTTGTTTTTTTTATTTCAGACGGACGATCAAAAACATAGCAGAGGCGAACAAGAAGCCAGCAAGAGACCTGACTATATATAGGAAGATGAGCAAGAAACGCATGCAGACGAAACAAAAGAAGCAGGCACCAATGGTATGTTCGTCTTTAGGGTTACTCAATCAAAGTCGTGAAGTTGACATGTATCATTGGGATTATATTTTCTTGTTTGATCTGAATGAATTGTAACTGAACTGAACTGTAAGGTAGTTGCAAAACTGTTTTTGGTCAATGTAGTTCCAACAAAGGCGAGGACTGCTTAATTTGAGCAATGCGTTACCTTGGTAACTGTGCATTACATCGTCCACTTTTTTAAAGTTCACCATTTTACATCAATTTATATATTTCATATATATTCTTCAAAGAAATTATTTAGTATTTTATAATCAGATTAACAGTATTTATTTGGAATGAATTCAATTATCATAATCGTTGATTTATTTTCATTATGTTTAATTATGTTAATTTATACTCCAGCTCAATCTTATGATACCGGTATGTATTTGGCACAATATTTTTTTTCACAAATTCTCTGAACATATTCACAAAGATCCGCATATCCATTATTTGACAGGTTAACACAAGTATACAACTAACATTTCGCTACCTGTATGTGAAGATAATTCGTTGAGAACGTGAGAATTTGTAATGTTATTAAAGGGCATACATAGACCCGACCAATGACCCTTTATCTGTATTTCCTGAATCCCATTTATCCCCATCTTGGATTTCCAAGGTATGATGTGTTCATGATTGAAAATTAAACTGGGAAACGAGTATGATTTATCCCCGCATTAATTAACAAAGTCAACTAATCTGGATTACTACATGTAGTCTAACACGGTTTAAATAAGGTAGGTATCAATGAAAACAAGGATCAAAAACCCGGGGAAAATGTTATCCTTTTTACTCCCGGCTAATCCGACCTTAACCCCGCCCTTTACATCAATTTGTTTATCTAATATGTACCATATTTAACAATTTGAATGTGGCATGCTGGTCTTATTATGGCCAAGAGTGAATATGACCGTGGATTGTGACCGATGTGGGTCAAACAAAGAAAAAGCTAATGGCGATAATTTCACCTCCTTGCCTTCCACTGATTAAAGATTTAAGACAGAACTTTTTATTAGACAAATATTTATAAGGTATTTGGTACATATTTGATTTTTTGGGAGATTCCTATATGGTATTGACAAATGAAGCTGCATATGATACTTTCAGTTATATCCATTCAGTGTCATACATTCAATAAGGAATAACATCCCGTTGTCAACGTGATTCAAGCCCGAGCTCTGAAAAAATAGTCAAGAACAATTTATTAACTAGAATAATGAGTCAGATCGGCTGTGATTCCTTCAGTGATAATGTCCGGTGTCAGAACTAAAACCTACGATGTATGACCCCTTTATTATATATTCAAAAGATATATTTATCTTAACATCGTCATTGTGGTTCCAGCCTCCCCAGAGCGCCGTCGCCAACACAAATGAAGAGTTTGACCAGATCTATTCCAATGACACCATGGATCAACAAGAATTTGGCACAATATACGAGGAGATATTAGAGAACTCTCCATCCCCCACCGGGAAATCTAAGTCCTACACACCATTGGAAAAGGCGGCAGAAAGTGGCCCCAAGGTAGAGCCCAGGCCCATTACTGATACCCAACCACGCAAGAAGTCATCAACAGAACACGGCTATGATCGTCCAGTTAGCGTTGACACTAGCGCTGGCGTTGATGAGGAGATATACGATGACGTACAGGGTTAGTACGATTTAGTTTTATAATTCATTGTTCAATGTTATAAAGAGGTCAATTTACAAAATGTAATCCTTGTATGCACTTTGGTCATATAAAGTCACGTGATCACGCAATATGTAATTTGATTGGTTAGACATATACACAAATTGTAATTCTACCTTTTAAAATTAACAATCATAATAGAAACGCTTTCGTCGAAACTTTTTTTAGAAGCTAAACCATAATGTTACGGTTGAAAATCAATAACAAACTCTATACTATTCTTTGCTACCATAAATAGGTGTATTCCATACCTGATGAGGTTTCAGGGACATATCAACCGGGAATATATTCCATATCCGGGCAAATATTTTTCGTATGTCCCGCTCCAACGGAGCACCGGGACATATAAATCGTATGTCCCGCTCAAAAAAATTTTGAAAATTTTTAAAAAAAAATCTAGGATTTTTTGAAAAAAAATTTTGAAAAAAAAATTCTGAAAAAAGTGAAAAAAAATTTGAAAAAATTTGGAATTTTTTTTTCATTTTTGAAAAAAATTGAAAACAAATTTGGAAAAAAATTGAATTTATTTTGCAAGTAAACACACCAGAGCTAATTATTTCAAACCTCCTCAGGTATGGAATACAACAGTTATGCACGGTCGGTTTGGATACAGGAAATATCCCTTGGGATATACAATATATCTTCCCTTGGTTCCTTCGGTCCCTCGGGAAGATATATTGTATATCCCTCGGGATATTCCCTGTATCCAAAACCTCCCAGTGCATAACCCCTATGTACCCTAGTGTCAATCTTCGTTTCTTTTTTAAAGGTGAGGATGATGATTGTGGGCAAATCTACGAGAATCCAGCAAACGTTACCCAGATTAATGAATCCGTAAACTGGAAAGCAGTCACAAGCCCCAATTCACAACCTATGAGGTCAGCGCCACCTTTAGCCCCAAGTCAGAAACCCCAGCCCAAACCTCGTACACCCAAATTAGAGAAAAAGGTATACCCAGAGAGGTACCATATCGAGTCAATACTTTATATGTGCCCTCCTCTCCTTTATTATTATGTAACATTCTTGGCCACCATATCGGCTAACAGACGAGTATTAATAAGCAAATAAGTACGTATTAATGCTTTTTGCTTTTTGATCTAGTAAAAAGGCAGACGTTTTATGGTATAACTGGAATACGAGTTATAAGTACTAGTACATGGATTCTGAGCAAGTATCAAAAATGACGACATATTATGTGAATAGGGTGGCCATGCTATTCAAAGACTATGAGAAACACATCCATCCCTATAGCACATATTACTTGATGTCCTTTTGTTGTCTATGTACGTTTTCATATGACCACTTCCTAATCTCCATAGCACCCTGTGATTGATATGTAAAATATATAAATATTTCGAAAGTTGTATTATGTAATAACGAGGTGGATGACTAACAATCCTCTCTTCTGAGTTTCTATATCCAATAAGTCAGTCCTGTTTTTGGCGATTTTGTATAGCATAACGCAAAATAAATAAAGGCCAAGTTATGCACAAAAAGACCCATTTTTTGAGGCCCTACAACATTTTCAGGGCCCTAAAAATGTTTTCTGGGGAGGGCTCTATGCTCCATTGCTTAACAGAGAGTTGATTTAGTAGCTTCAGCCAACTGATTTTGGGACGTACCAAATCTTCCTTATGATTTTAGTACGATTTTGCGCATGCGTATGAACGTAAACATGTTTACTCTTCTAAGCATGACAATTGAAGGATTTTTTTTAAATTTCAGGTTCTCTCATTAAACTCGACCATTCCTGCCCCCGATCCCAGCACTGTCACCAAAGATAAATACGGTTATGAAATAGTTGACGACGCTAACAATACTCAAAACGAAAGATGCTCATCTCATAGTGCGGACTATCTTCCCCCTGCACCACCGCCACCTATCGACGCCCAAGATGATAACATTTATCTGGCGATGGTGTCGGACGATAGTACAGAGAGCGCCACAAAGCCTCAGAGTAATTTAAGAACATCCGAACCGGACATATCTCCCGGATTTAGACAATGTAACCCTACGGTTAACTGGAATACTGTTATCCCGCTTAGACCATCAGAAGCCTTGATAGAAGAAAAGAAACCACATGGTTATATTAATGTATTTGATGAAAATGGGAAAAACCCTAACAACCCCGAAGCTCATTTAGAAAAACTTGAGATAACTAAAAAACACGCAACTCTCGGGGCAATGGGCAGATCAACGGGACAAAAGCCAGTCAAACCCCAAAGATCACCAAGGGCATCACCAAGGAGCTCTCCCAGGAGCTCTCCCATGGGTTCCCCGTACGTTGGTAAGAAATCTAGTTCAAACAATGCAGAGATAAATAAATCACAAACACTTCCTGGTAATATTGGATTCGGGAACGTGGCAGACAAAACAGGTTCAAAACCAGTGCCACGACCTAAAATAACTACAAAACCTCCAGTTTCATCCAAACATGACTCTGCCAATAGGGCGAAACAACGTACCAACGATACCGACAAGGAAGATTCTAGTCCCAAAGACAATACCAATGGAACTAATGAAAAACCTATGAAATCATTGGCAGATAGATTGGCAATGTTTCAGAAATAATGATAAAATTTTGAATCGATTTTGAAGATTTGATCTTTTTAGTTTATTGTCCACTAATCTAGCCATGCAAAAGAGTGAGGAGAAATATTGTGTCACCAAGAATTTCAAACCATTGACTTCATTGGAGCCTTGCTCGTGGTACGCTGGTTTACTGCGGAACGTTGTTCTTTCCAGTTAACAAATGTTTTGTTAAATTTTATATCACTTAACATAATGTATGTTTTCTAAAATGATAGTGTAATAAAATACGAGTCCTTTCAACATTGCATTTATTTGGTTGCTTATTTGCTTTAGATTTATATATCAATATACGACGTTCTTATAGCTAGCATTTTAGTCTTTGATGCAAAAAATGTAGTCCAATTAAAACATCAATGACGATTTTTTGCCCAACTAAAACACAAAGTCACGCATATAAAATATAAGAACTCCATTAGGATATATTCTATGAATGTTCATCTCTCTGGTAGTAATGTAATATTAACAAAGTTGTTGATTTTCTTTCGATGGACATCCGACGAAGCGTCAAAAGAAAATAAAGGTTAATAGTCCATTAGGATTGTTTCAAGCTTTGTCAATCTGAGCTCCTTTTAAATAAGCCATGAGCACATTAAATATTCACAGTGATGCTTTTAGTAGCACAATCAGACTAGATTGCGTGAAACTTTTGTTGAATGCAGAACCACTAAGTGGAAGGTTCATGTGAACTAAATTATCTCAACTTTGCGAGGCTTGTTCTCAGGGTATAAGTACTAGTTTAGAAGGCTTATATTTTACAGTATTACCTTGAGCTAAAGGTGGGCCGGCCATAGTCGGAGCAAAGTGGTGAACCATATAGTGGTCTTTATCCTTTGTTCAGTAGAGTTTATACAACACTCTGACATTACAATACTTTCTGTTTATGTGTTACCAGTCAGCAATATTTTTTAAACAACACAACACTTGTTGCATATAAAACGTTCAAATCTAACTGAAATTTACCAAACTGGCTAAAATCTGAATATGTGACGTAAATGTCGGTCCCGGGGTACCTGTACCTCCTTCACGGAAATAAGGATATATCAATATGTATTATATATCTTGTCTTCAGAATTGATAGATAATTGAATGATGTATCACTGGTAGAAAAATCAAAGGGATTGGTCTTTAAAAAGTATCTGTGTAAAAAAGCGTCCATTACTTATTGATCACCCCTCGTAAGATAGTGAGATGTATCACCTATCCTGATTTTGAGGTTTCCATATCCAGAACCTCAAGACCTCCTGCTGTATCTCCCGCTCCTGCATGGGCAAATCTTCAAACTTCCCGTAATTGAAAAAAATATTAAATTTTCTAAAACGAAAATTGAAAAAATTGAAAAAAAAATTGAAAAAAATTTGAAAAAGAATTATGAAAAATTGAAAAAAATCTTGAAAAAATTTGAAAAACAATTGAAAAAATTGATTTTTTAGAAGAAAACTTTACTGGGCATAGGATAAAGCAGTTATGTACGGTCGGAAATGGTGTTTATCCCTCGGCACATGTATATCTACGGTCCCTGGTGTCCCCCAGGTAGCATTTCTCCCACTTGATAAACCCCATTGCATATCCTAAACTAAGTACTAACTCTAAGTACATGACCCTTCTTTATCTGCCCTGGTCCAGGGCGAATTATGAGTGGGATAATCCCAAACCTCATTTCAGCAGGCAAGAAAGCAAAATAAAATTGAATGTTTCATCATGGTCATTTTTGAACCTCTGACTCTTGGAAAATATCCAGAGACGTTGACAGATAAAATGACACTATATACGACCACTTATACTTTTTGATGACAATAGACTGAAATGGAAATACATGCAGTTCCCAAGCAAATATTGAGTATTCTCTTTATTTACATATATTTGTGACATATATTTCACTTTAAAAATATCACTTTATTCATCACGAACTATAAATGATGTCCTACACGATGTCACATTTGACACATGGTCTCGCCACTTTATATATCACGAACTCTAGCTATTAGTGTTGCTATAGAAGTCCTACACGATGTCACATTTGACACATGGTCTCCCCACTTTATATATCACGATCTCCAGCTATTAGTGTTGCTATAGAAGTCCTACACGATGTCACATTTGACACATGGTCTCCCCACTTTATATATCATGAACTCCAGCTATTACTGGTGCTATAGAAGTCCTACACGATGTCACATTTGACACATGGTCTCGCCACTTTATATATCACGAACTCTAGCTATTACTGGTGCTATAGAAGTCCTAGACCATGTCATATTTGACACATGCTCTTCCCATTTTATATATCACGAACTCCAGCCATTACTGGTGCTATAGATGCCACAGACGATGTGACATTTGACACCTGCCTATCAGCTCCACCACTAGATGAAGCCACATCATTGTTTTTGTCTTTTGTAAACGTTTTCTTCAAAGCATTGCGGAAACCAATATGGCTAAATGAGTAGATGATCGGGTTAATGCTACAATTAAAGAAAAGTAAGTAAACGAATATTTGGTACGCCGTTCCACTATAGACATTTGTGTTAATCATTTTAAAACGTTTAAGCATAACGTACACCTCAGCTCCGACGTAACATGTGAAAAATGCAACTGAGACTAAAATCAGGGTACGTATTACTGCATTTCTCGATTTTGCCATTTGTGCGTGCCTTTGGTCGGATGCTAACGCCGAGGCAGATTCATGTCTTAGATGTGCTAGTATTCGGCTATAGCAAAATACCATTATGCAAAATGGGATTGCGAACCGATTAGCAAAATAATAGACACCGAAAAATGATTCAACTGTATCATTGATCCACTCTGTCCACAGAGAACAATGCTTTCCTTGCAAGACAGTAGTTCCAATTTCATTACCTTCGTTTATTAATGGCAATATCCATAACATGAATATAACGATTCTCAACCTCTTCTTGGTCAAGTGCCTTTTGTGAATCAACGGGTGAATCAAGGCGATGTATCTCTCAAGGGTTAAACATACTATGTTCCACGTGGACATATTCAGTATGGCCCATGGAAAATACTCCGACATCCACACTCGACAAAATAACGAAGCAATCAGTCCGTGGTTTGTGATCCAATCCATATTGCTTATCAGTTTATTAAGGATGATAAAGAGAGACGCAAGCATGTCAAAAATACTTTGGTTAATAATAAGCGTGTTACTAATCTTTTGCCGGAGTTTTGCTGATTTGAGAAATATAAACACCACAAAAAGATTCCCTAGAAATCCAGCACTACATACAATACCATATCCCAATTTGTCTTCAAAAGTTATGAATGTGTTTACAGTAAATCCTTCCGCATCAGCTTTTTCTATCACATTTTGTAATGTTTGGTTTCCATTAATGTTATTTTCCATTGTTAAAAGTGCAATATTGCCACCTTGTTGACGTACCAGGTAATGTCCGCCGCTATTGGGTTTTACAACAACACCTGGCTTTTTATATCGTTATCTGGGTAAATATAACGCCAAGAGGGGGAGAAACACCAGGGTTCAAAGATGACATACGCTTATAATGTAATTCTGTATTGAGATGACATCGTCGTTGATTGGTCAAAAGTCGACAAATAAATGACGTCATCAATGGCGGTTTCGTATTTCGAATAATATTATGCTCATTTCTGGCGTGTTAACCAATATTATAACTTGTTATTTCACATCAAGATAAAAAATGTGTACGGAATATGCCTATATCAATTAAAACCTCCCATCGAAGTGTAGTATTTGATAACTAGCCGACGAAAATTCGAACGAACGAAGGTGGTAAGCAAGAGAGGTAATTATGTCTGTCACCTGGGGCTTTCCCTCCTCTTTATTACGCCCTGGTAATCACTTGCCGCGCATGCGCTTTCCCTGATTTAACATTAAAAACGTAATAGAGGAAACAGACGACTGTCTTTTTTAGAATTGCAGAAGAAGACAATGGTCTCGTTAACAACTGCAGAACCACACGATGGTCTCATTTACAATGGCAGAACCACACGATGGTCTCATTTACAATGACAGAAGAAGACGACAGTCTCATTAACAATGACAGAAGCAGACGATGGACTCATTTACAACGGCAGAAGAAGACGACAGTCTCATTAACAATGACAGAAGCAGACGATGGACTCATTTACAATGGCAGAAGCAGACGACAGTCTCATTTACGATAGCAGAAGCGGGCGATGGTCTCATTTACAATGGCGGAAGCAGGTAACAGTCTCATTAACAATGACAGAAGTAGACGATGGTCTCATTTACAACGCCAGAACCACACGATGGTCTCATTTACAATGGCAGAAGCAGACGATGGCCTCAATTACGATGTCAGAAGCAGACGATGGTCTCATTTACAACGACAGAACCACAGGATGGTCTCATTTACAATGGCAGAAGCAGACGACAGTCTCATTTACAATGGAAGAAGCAGACGATGGTCTCATTTTCAACGGCAGAACCACACGATGGTCTCATTTACAATTGCAGAACCACACGATGGTCTCATTTACAATGGCAGAAGCAGACGCCGGTTTCATATACAACTGCAGAAGTAGATGACGGTCTCATTTACATCGGCAGAAGCAGAAGATAGTCTCATTTACAATGGCAGAGGCAGGCGACAGCCTCATTAACAATGGCAGAAGAAGACGATGGTCTCATTAACAACAGCAGAACTAGACGATAGTCTCATATACAATGGCAGAATCAGACTATTGTATCATTTACAACTACAGAACCAGCGATGGTCTCATTTTCAACCCCAGAACCACACGATGGTCTCCTTTACAATGGCAGAAGCAGACGATGGTCTCATTTACAATAACAGAAGTAGACGACAGGCTCATTATCAATGGCAGAAGCAAACGATGGTCTCATTTACAATGGCAGAAGCAGACGATGGTCTCATTTACAATGGCAGAAGCAGACGAAAGTCTCATTTACAATGGCAGAAGCAGACGATGGTCTCATTTACAATGGCAGAAGCAGACGAAAGTCTCATTTACAATGGCAGAAGCAGACGAAAGTCTCATTTACAACGACAGAACCACAGGATGGTCTCATTTACAATGGCAGAAGCAGACGACAGTCTCATTTACAATGGCAGAAGCAGATAACAGTCTCATTAACAATTACAGAAGCAGACGATGGTATCGTTAACCCCGGCAGAACCAGACGATGGTCTCGTATACAATGGCAGAAACAGCAGAAGCAGGCGACAGTCTTATTTACAACGGCAGAACCAGACGATGGTCTCATTTACAACAGAAGAACCAGACGATGA